AAATAGTTAACTAAACCCAAAAATCGCTGAACTTCCAGAATAGTTCGAGGCGGTTTCATATTTTTAATCGCCTCAGTATGCTTTCCGCTTAACGTGATACCGTTCCGAGAAATCATGTAACCCAGGTACTCAATGTTTTTGCGCAGAAATTGACATTTTTCATAATTAAGCTCAAGCCCGTGCTGTTTAAGGATCGTGATTACTTCTCCAATAATTTCCAAATTTTGTTCGACCGTACCCGTCGGGATCATTATGTCGTCGATATATACCATGACTTTATTCTGTCTGATTAACGGTTGCAAAATGCTGACCAAGCGTTTCTGAAATTCTGCTGGTGCCTCGCAAAAACCGAAAGGCAACCGATTATATTCATACTGACCATCCGGGGTCGCGAACGAGAAGTATTTTGTGCAACTCGGGTGCACCTTTATCTGATGGAAACCATCCTTTAGATCCAATAGCGTAAAAACCTTGTTATTCCCTAATTGTGCAATACAATCCTCGATTATTGGGAATGGATATTTCTGCTTAATAACACGACTGTTTAACGGGCGCAAATCCACGCAAAGTCTCATGTCGCCGTTTTTCTTTCGTACGGGAACTATTCTCGCGCAATACGGAGAAGTACTTGGTTTGATGATTTCTCGTTTAAGCAGATCGTTTACAATCTCGCGAATCTGCTCTTTTTCGCGCAACGCAAAACGTCGCGGAGCGTACGCATACGGTACGTCGTCTTTCAGTCTGATTTGAACGGAATATTCATTTTCCAGGCGCGGAATATTACCGCTCTCTAACTTTTTAAGTAATGTAATTAAATCACTTTTTATTCCATCGTTAAAATCAATTTTAACATCTTCCAATACCGCCATTTTATCTGCGTGAACAGTACAAATATCCGAATTTAATATTGACCCGAATATGTCAATCAAATTGCATGGCGCGTCCGGGGCGTTCGGCGCCTCCGCGGGCGTCGGTGTCCCTAATGCGGACCGCAGCGCGTGGCCATTCTTATAATTATCTAAACGCGGTACGTACTTTACGCTCATTTTAGCCCCGCGTAAAAAGTCTCGCCCTATTACAAGGTCATGTTCGAACGTGTCGTGCTTTAACACATTCAGAGTGATTTTATACAGTGAATTTGGAATATTACCAAACCGTACCATCGTGGTGACAACGCCACTAACCTCAATAGGTAA